GTATACAAACGAAGGCGTATTTCCCACAACTCTTATTGATACCTCCTTTTAAGGATGAGGGGAAGGGTAGAATGAATTTCAGAAAAACATTTTCTATAAACCTTTTTTTAAAAATTAACTATTGTTTTGAATATTCCTCCAAATACAGACAGCCACTGTGGTAAATTTTATTGGATTTATTTATTTATTTACGTATTTATTTATAATTACAATTTATTATAATTATAATTTATTTATAATTCATGTTGAGTATGAGGTGATTTTTCTCAAAAATCAGGAAGTAAGGAAGTGAGGCAGCTGTGGATAGGTCCTGATGCTCTTATGGAGGAGAATAGAGAAGCATATCAAGTCTCCAAAGTGAAGAGCAGGAAATTGACTGATCTAAGAGAAAAAAAGCATGTAAAAATTTTGTCTTGTTTATTGTGGAATCCTTAGATTCACCTCACTCCGAATATATATGATGAAATGAATCAAATGTTTGCATAGACCTTTAGGACAGTTATATTCAAAGTGCTAGTATACAGTGATCTAAGGAGCTTGCACACAGTGGGCAAGCTTATTACCCACCGCTTCCTTGGTGAAGACAGTCTTGCTTCCAGAAAGAGTCAGCTTAATGCCAAACAACCAAACCAAACCTTCCAGTACCTGTGGCCTCTGAGCACCTCTATTGAAAGACAGAGAATAATGGGTGGCCCTAGGAGTCTGCAGCTTAGGCAAGTTACTCCATCTCTCTGTTTCTGGATCCCTGAGAAGGAAGACAGCAGAAGGGCAGGATATCTGGGGCCCTGGCAAAAGGGAGAGGAGTCATGGTGAAACAGGCATGCAGTGCTGACAAAGCCCAGATAAAGGGTGGGATGGCCTTCCTCTGAGAGAGCCACAGGGAAGGCATGGGTGCCAGACACAGCCAGGTTTTCATTTGAGTAGTAGAGGCAAAAGAAAGTTTAATGAAAGTTTGAGATAAGGCATTTGTATTATGGCAAGTGATGAGCCCAAGAGGGCACCCTGGAGGAGTTTCCAAGAGAGGAGAAGATTTGAACGTTGTCTGGCACAAGTAAGAGCACTGTTGGGGTGAAAGGTTGGGTGAGGAGGGACTTCCTGTACTGTTTAACAGAAAGAGGAAGTGAGGCAGGTGTGGATAGGTCCTGATGCTCTCATGGAGGAGAATGGGAAGAAATCCTTAGTTCAGGAATATGGAAGCTCCAGATTAGCTGTTCTCTCCATTCCTGACACCTCAGAGAATGGGCATGTGCTACCTACATACCCCATAGGGCTGAGATAATGTAGTGAAGCAGTATCTGTCTGTGTTTATTATCCTCAAACATATTTTTCAGAAATATTTATATAACACAAACTGTATGGAAAGCATTGTTGGGCCCTGCCAGTAATACAAGTGCAAATAAAGATCTTTATCTGTGTCCCTAAGTGGCTTCCAGTTTATGAGAGAGAAATTTATTCTGTATAGAGATAATACATCAGCAAATGAACATTGTTCAGATAATTTAAAACCCAAACCACAACAAAGGCAAAAAAATGCAAATAACCCATTTCCTAAAGAAGAGGTCCATCTTCTGCTTTCAAGGTCAACCTGGGAAACTGGTCTCATCAATTGTGGCTTTCAAAATGATGAAATTAATTGTGTCTTTAAAAATTTATTTCCACCATCTTTTTCTTCTGATTAGAATATTAAAAGAAAAAAGTGTCTAAATCAAATGCAAAACTGGTTAAATACTTGCCTTGGCCTGGTTATAGTGTAAAGTAAATCAAGTGGCAATTTAATTCCCAATGAACATGTGACAACCATGGAGTTAAATATTAGATTTAAATAGGGCAGCTAATTCTCTGCAGAAATCACATTTGGGTCTTGATATGGGCACTCTTCCTAATTAACGCATTTCTCTACTCTTAAATTCAGGTTTTGCTACTGAAACATGAGAAATTAATATTCATTCCCATATCCATTAATATAGTTGCTCATAAAAAGACCTTTTGGTTTCATCACCCTGAGTTCCTGAGGCTCAGGCATTTATGGATCAAAACCACACAAATTATCAAGGGGAAGAAATCCCATTAAAGCCAAACTTTAATAACCCCTCGAACTTTATATAAAGTTGTATCTTAAAAAGACTAGGTTATCCATCAATTTAGAATGGATAAATATATGAAGGTACAGTCCTCCCACAGAATATTTTAAAGTAATAAAAGGGAAAGAATTACTGCCACACACACAAAGTAACTCAATCTCAGCAACATGGTTAAATGAAAGATGGGAGATCTGGAATATATGTACCTTGAGTCCATTGATGTAGGTTCTGAAACAGGTGAGACTGAACAATCTTTTACTAGGGATATATAGGATACATTGCATTAGAAACAAAATAATAAAGAAAATGATTAATACAAAATTAAGGTAGTGATCTCCCTGGGAGACAAGGAAGAAACTAGTTACATCAAGAAAGAACCCATGAGGCAGTGGTGCTTCTTAGATGCTATAGGTTGAACATCTCTAATACAAAAATTCCAAATCCAAAATGCTTAAAATCCGAAAGTTTTTGAGCAACAACATGATACCACAAGAGGATAATTCCTCACCTGACCTTCTGTGACTGGTTGTCATCAAAATGTAAGCACACTAAACATATTGTATAAAATCACCTTCAGGCTATAGGTATAAGAAGTATAAAATAATCCGTGAATTTCATGTTTATATTTGGGTCCTATTTCCAAGATATCTCATTATGCATATGCAAATATTCCAAAATCCAAAAAATATCTAAAATCCAAAACATTTCTGGTTTCATGCATTTTTGATAAGGAATGCTCAACCTTTAATGATAATCTGTTTCCTAAATGGATGCTGGGTTCATAGGTACTCATTTTATTATTCTTTAAAGTGCAGAGTGCTTTACATATTTTTGTTTTTAAAATTATAGTTCACAATAAAGAAGAAAATACTTTTAAAGAAAAATTATCAAAATACACCACGATACTAAAGCTGTACTTTGTCCTGAGTACCTAAGATGTATAAGGGTTCAGGAGGCAGACCAGGCCCACTCAGAAACTCAGGGAACTTATAAATGTGGAAATGTCACCAAGCCCTGGCAGTGAGGAGATGAGTTTAGGAATGAGGTCTTGGACCATCAAAGTTGTCTCAGAATGTTCTCTAAGGGAGTTAGAACCTCAGCTAGACCTTAAGGGTTAAGGGAGGCAGAAGGGAAGCAGAGAAATTATTTTTACCTTTATTTCTTATATACATCAAATCCTTGTTATGTTTACCACAATTTTAAATTTAAAAAGAGACTTTGTGGTATAGAAAAAAAGTGGACTCTGAATTCAGATAGATTTGGGATCAAATCCAAGATCCCCATTGCCAGACCAAGAATGCTTGAAGTTCCTACAGACTTATTCCCCATTTATAAAACACAAAGAAGGGTTCACAGGGTTGTGAGAATGAGCTAAGACAACATTGTTGGCTTCCAATTCCATGCTCTAGAGATCATGATCTCTCTCTATATGTACATAGCTACTAGAGATTGAATCCAGAGACACTTTATCTGTATCTCAAGCCCTTTTTATTTTTTATTTTGAGACAGGGTCTTACTAAGTTGTTGAGGATCTCACTAAATTGCTGAGACTGGCCTCAAACTTGTGATCCTCCTCTTTCAACCTCCTGAGTTTCTGGGATTACAGGCATGTGCCACTCTACCCAGAAGAATCTTTTTTAAAAATAGTCTTCCCTGGGTATTTATGTGAGATTAGTTCCAGAAGCCCCCTCTGATACTAAAATCCAGGATGCTCAAGTTCCATATATGCAGTGGTATAGTGTTGGTATATAATCTATGTATATCCTCCCCAATTCTTCAAATCAACTCTAGATTACTTTTAATACCTAATAGAATGTAATTGCTATACAAATAGTTGCTATACTGTATCATTTCAGGAATCACAAGAAAACAAAAGTCTGTACATATTTAGTACAGACATAATTATTATTTTTCCAAATATTTTCTATACAAACTTGTTTAATCCACAGATGTGAGAGTGAAAGATACAGAAAGCCGGCTGTGCTACCAATTTAGGGACAAAGAGTTCAAAAAAGATTCAGACTGGGGGAATCCCCTAGCTAAGGGATTAAACCTTCAAAGTGCTGGGCAAAGAGGCTCAAGCTTGTACTATTGTTTTGTCCTACAGAGTCTCCTTTTGAGTTACTTTATTAGCTCTGCCCTATCTTTTGCCTTTCTCTGGTTTCCACCTTGCAGCCAATGGGCTTATTAAGAACCCTTGACTGCCTCCTGCCTTGATCTCCATGAAGCATATGCATGAGTGACTTTGGCCAGCTCCAGAGCATAAGGAAAATAGCCTCTCTTCTTATTCATCTATTTTTGTCTCTTCTTAGCTATGGAGAGCCAAGGCCAGGACATTATTTTAGAAAGGGGCTAAGTAAGCCAGGCTTTAGACAGAGAATCATTTCTTGTATAAACAAAAGTAGTCACCAAGGTTCAACCAGGGTCTAGTGAGCTACCTCACTGGAAAACTAGAACTAGGGGGAGGCCAAAGTCTTTGCATAGATCTGCATTTTTTCTTGTCCTCTGAGGCTATCTCCCTTAGGAGTCTGTCTTCATAAAAATTGAGGGATTCCTGGGATCCCTCCGCCTTTCCCAGTGGATATTTGACCAACAAATCTGGCTTGCTGTTAATGTTAATTATTTCTTCATTTTTTTCCTTTTCCCAGTCTGTAAAGCTCATTAGTCATATCTTGCAGCCAACAGCTAGTTCTCTGATTTTATCAAAAACAATGTTTGGGTTCTGGAAAGTAGCCAATAAAACCTGTGCCAGTCTTTGGGGTATGCTGTGAAGATGGAAAATGTGCTCCCCTTTGGTTCACAGTATGTGGAAGGAGAGAGGATCTTGGGTCTGCAAGTTCACAGGATATGCCCTTGAGTACCCACCCTCTGTCTTCACCTCAACAAACTTTAATTCCAAATTCTGTGTTTGTTTTACAGTTGTTCAGCACATCAAGCGACATAACATCGTTCTGAAAAGGGAGCTAGGTGAAGGAGCCTTTGGAAAAGTTTTCCTAGCTGAATGCTATAACCTCTGTCCTGAGCAGGATAAGATCTTGGTGGCAGTGAAGGTAAGAGAACATTTCAAAATGTCTCCTTATCCACCACAGTCACACTGATGTGTGGAAGTTTTTTTCTTTATTTTTTAATATTTTAGTGGCCAATTCAAGAGTCAGTTATGTTTATTATGGTGAATGTGTTCAAATTCCTTTACCTAAATGGGCAGTCAGAAGAATATTTGGGGTACATTCAACTGTTAGTGGTTCTGCTCAGGGGCAACCAACCAGTCCATAGGCCTTAAATAACTCTGAAATACCCATCCTTTTCCATGCTTCCAGAATTTTGGATGGAGATCAGTGGTGTCAGGAAGTCTTGGAGACTCTAACTTGTCTCCCCAGTTTTCTTGGAACTTATGCCATGCTCAGTTGAGTTTGTTGTATGTTGGAGATTCTGGAAGGGAGGAGGACTTCACTTCTGGCAGCCTGTTCCACTGAGTTCTCCTTTCATACTGTACCTTGTCTCTAGAATTCTTCCAAAGCCATAGGATTTTATAAGTGCAGGCTTGATTTCATCAAGGGGTGGGTGATGTCTCCTGTGGATTCCACCATCCCAGAAGACATGCAGTTTCTAGTAATGGAAAGAAGTCTGAGAGTCCTTTATCACAGTCATCCCCAAAAACTCAAAAAGAAGACCTTATTATTCAATAAGATAACATCATTAAAGGGGATAAAAAATCCATTGAGCTTTCTAAAATTCAAGGATTAACAAAAATAGCACAAAAAAACTTTAGCAGATCTCTTATATATGCATTATCAAAAAGTTTTTAAAACCTCACTAAGGTATTAGGTAGCATATGCCAAGCACTTAAAAGAAGCATGCATTTATAAACTGAATTAAGAGCCAAATGATATGGATTTGGCTACCATAGTAAAACTTAACTCCTTGGTATAATATAAGATAGTTTAGTTTTGTTGTTGTTGTTGTTGTGTGTTGTATTGTATCTCTGCCAAACAAGGAACATTTGTATCAATGACGGGGTTTTGTTTGTTTATTTGTTTGTTTACTAGTTTTAACCAGGAAAACTTTTCATTTCTTTAAAATCAGGTGCATATTCCACTACTGGTATATTTAGCAATAGAAAAATTGTACATTTGTTCTTCTTGTTGAATGAAATTAACATGTTGCCAGGATGCTCCAAAACTCTCAGAGAAGGCTCCTAAGAGCTGCACTTTTCAGTGAATAAAGGGCAAACCCTTCTAGGGGTAATAAATCAATCAAGCAAACATCATCTCTCCCAAGACAGGAAAATGAACAGGAAGATTGAGAAAGGTGAAAGGGAAGGGGAAGTGAGATTCTAGAGAGATGTGAGGTCAAATGGGGTAGATGGTGTCAAAGTAAGAATCCTATTGGGAGTTCAAGAGATGTTTAATTCCTGCTGTTGCGATTACTTCCTCCTTTCTTTGATTTACTCAAAAAGTTTCGTTGTTATCTTTTTTTAGCACAAAATGTTCAGAACATTTGGCTGTGTTATATCTGTAGTTTTTGCTTTTTCCTTCTATTCCCCCTACTTTAGGAGAAGTGGGACCAAAGGTGTCTCTATTTTTATAAATTCATAGACTGATCAAATGTTACAGTTGGAAGAATTTTAGGGAACATCTAATCCTAGCCTAGCTGTGTGTTTAGGGGAGGAAACAGAAGACATGTTTTGGGACCATGTTTTGCACTGCTACTTAGAGGCTATCCAGGAAGCTAAGTCAAGCCTTCTGACTCTGAATTCACTTTATGATGTCACAGGTGGGACTGTGAGTTGGGGAAAATCCTGAAAGATTAAGGAATCCTACATGATAGTATAGGAATAACTGAGAAACCTCAGCCAGATACAGCTATAGAGCCAACAAATTTCTCAGTGGGTATAGCCTTTCATCTTAGTACCATCTTTTATTCTGTGCCTATTTCTCTATGTTTTTTGCAATGCCCTTAAAGAGAGGGCCTTGCATAGCAAAATCTAGGATACCCTCAATCCATATGTTCTATTTCCTTCTGAACACATGCTAAAATATGACTTTAGGGATTGAATTACTAATAAGGCAGGGTTAACTGGTTGTGACGACATTTATCCTTGAACTGGCCTTAAAAAAGACCATTTCACTTTTTTGCCCACTGCTTGCTTCTCTTTGATTATATCATCTATTACTACTGTCAATGGGGCCCTTCTCTGGTTTAAATTCCAATGACAAATCTAATCCCATCTTGAACAGACCCAGGACCTAGTCTTCACATACTCTAACATACCTTTGGATTGCCAAATAAGTTTTTTGCAAATTAGTGACCAATGATGAGTGTTTGCTCTTTAAACAACACTGGTTAAAAGGGGGGAGAGGGAGGATTCAACCCTTTATCAAATCCTGACTTCTCTCTGCTACTTTGTCTTCTTGTGGAAATTCAAATGAAGCTGTCGTCTCAAATAGAAAGAAAATAGGTCCTGCAGATTAAAAATTCACTCTAATTTCATGTTCACAAAACTAAGAATTCTCATCTCAATGACCTTGAATGTGAATGTTGAAATTAGAGGTTTTGCTTATGTTAGCTAGAGTAATTTCACACTTCAGAGAGGGTACCCATTTAAACTTTCTGGAATTCAGAGGCTGAAACCATGTAAGGGATATGTTGGATCTTCCACAAGCTCCAGGGTAAACTAGTTCAGAATAACCTATGGACCTTTCACAGAGCTGCCTCTCTTCAGCTTACTGTGTTCATTTTTATGGCTTTGGGCCAAATGAAAGCATATTCAAAAGGCTAAATGAGCCTGGGAGGAAACTGTCTATGGTTTAGCCTTAACTACTATTAAGGGATTTTTAAAGAAATGAAGCAAACTGAGCACAGCTTTCAGGACTGCACAGCCTCTCACCTCTGTGGAGTGGCTGCCGGGTTGCTTCTCTTCCATTGGAGGCACTTGGGGATGTTTGACAGCCTTTCTGCTGTTGCCTAGCAACCCTTGCAGCATTGATTATGCATGGTAAGAAATAGCAGCTATTGTCCTTTTCCCTTCTCTAGAAAGAGCTGACTTTGGGTTGCAATCTAAGGCTTTACATTCAGATTGACAGACGTCAGATTCCTATTAATTCTGATGTTGATTCTCTCAAATTATTTTAGAGCTTGAGAGATCCACAGGAAATAGCTTTGGGTAGATGTGGTTCTGAGGCACATGCAGGCATTCAAGGGTACACAGGAACTGTGTATGCCTCTCCTATGACTCTTGCTTGTTTGGATTTAACCGGATTGCCCTTTTCTTGATATTTTTGGATGACCTTTGTTTTTCAGTGGAATGTATTTGTCGACAGTTTTTTCCCTTTACACTGAATTACAATTGAAGAGCCCATAGAGAGGATGAGAAATTGAGAAACCAGTCTTTGATCGAACCTAGTTACTTTACCTTTAAGTAACTCGATCGCCAAGGAAACGCTTCCTCACAGTTTCCCTGCATTAACTGTGGGTGCATTAGCTATTTTTGGCTCCATCCAACCTGCATTTCAATAGCTACAATTCCTACAACATTTTGTTGTGCCATGAATGCAAGTTAATTTTTGGTTTTTTTTTAAATATACCCACAAGTCTGCTTTGTAGGATTCATGGCTTCTCCTCCCTCTCCTCACTAGCTCAGGTGTATTTTTATCAACATAGAATGCTGAATATAAGATCTGAGATATCATATATATAACCAAAAACCTCATGTTTTATAGATGAGAAAATCGAGACCCGGGGAAGTTGAGTGACTTCCTCAAGGTGTCAGTTAAAGGAGTTGGAGGTGCTGCCCAGGAAGAAGTGGTGGCAAAATAAGAAATGGTGAAATCTGAGTTCAGCAGACACTTTCTGCTTTAGTCAGCTGTTTTGTTGCTGCAAGCAAAAGACCTGACAAGAACAATGTAGAGGAGGAAAAGTTTATTTGGGGGCACATGGTTTCAGATATCTCAGGCCATTAGGTGGCTGACCCTATAGCTCTGGGCCCAAAGTGATGTGAGGCACAACATCATGGCAGAAGGGCATAGCCAAGAAAAGCAGCTCAGGACATTGCTATGAGCAGCAGAGAGTTTTGTTTACCAGGGACAAAATATAAACCCCAATGTCACACCCCCAGTAAGCTACCTCATCCAGCCACACATTACATGCCTACAGTTCCATTCCAGTTAATCCATATCTATAGATTAATCCAGTGACTAGGTTAAGACTTTCACAACCCAGTCATTTCACTTCTGAAAATTCTTGCATTGTCTCATGTATAAGCTTTTATGGAACTAAATACTTTCTTTGGGATCTCACTACTTTTTTTATGTTTCTCAATTCCTTTTTGTCAAGGAAATAATGGTGTTTTTCAGCACCAAGCAATTTGGAAACATGAACTGATGGATTCGCTAGCACATTACCAGAAGGCAGGCCCAGAGTAGCACCCAATATACTGTTGCCATTGTCATGTTTGTATGACCCCCAACCAGCTCCTTGTTCCAACACTCTGTTTAGTTTGTCTCTTTGGAAGACTTTCCTTCGACTGCCCTCCCTAGCCAAATCAGACCTCTGTGATATATGTCATTAAGGCACTTATACATGCCCTTTATATGTTGTATATAATAAATCTGTGGGCTTAGAGTAGCATATTAGAGTGGCATGTTCTCCTGGATGTTAACCAGGTCTTTTAACATATTGCCTAACATGTAGTACCATGCAATAAATGCTTATGGAATGAATTAAGGGATGGATGGGCAGATAGATGGATGGATGGATGGATGGATGGATGGATGGATACACAGACCATGGAAATAGTTGTCTTTTGGTGAAGTTGGTAGTTGAACATTTCTAGGCAAGGAAATGATTTGCTTAACTATTAATAGAGCTGAAAGAAACTGTAAAGGTGAGAAATAATAATGTAATCTCATGATGAATCATTTTAGAAATGATTGAATAAATAGATGGACACTTAGTTAGCTTAACGTCCATGTTCTGCCAATGAGGAAGCAGTAACATGAAGAAGATTAGGGTCCCATCCAATGTCACACAGCTTGAATAAGGTCATCGAGTG